ATGTCTGTGAATTGTTAAATGGAAAACCAGTTTGCTCTGTAAACTCCACCAAACAAGAAACCTAGAGACAGAAAACAACAGAAGGAAAAAAGGCTGCAACATCCCTTTCTCTCCCTCTTTGGCTTCCAAGAAGCAAGTGGTCATGCAGGGAAGGCCCAAGGGGCAAGGAACTGAGGGGGACCTTGGCCAACAGCCAACAAGAAACTGACCCCCTCCGTCTGGAAGTCCACAGGGAACTGGATGCTGCCAACATCCACGTGGGCCAGGAAGCTGATCCCTCCCCAGGCAAGCCTCCGATGAGACCACAGCCCTGACCACGACCTTGACTGCTGCCTTGGAGAGGACCCAGCTGACCTGTGCCCCAGCTCTTGACCCTTTATTGTGGTAAATACCCATGTAACAAAACATTTGACATTTCCACACTCGTCACGTGTACTGGTCAGTACTAACTACACTTATCATGTTGTTTAGCCATCACCCTTGTGTTCTCAAATTTTCCATCAAAACATATATTGTCTTTTTTTTTTTTTTACGGCAACCATACTTGTTTTGATTTCATGTTTCCATCCTCACACATATGCACACACGTGTTTTCATATTTATAACATCATAGAAGGGAGCCCTGGTGGAGAAACAGTTAAGAGCTTGGCTGCTAACCGGAAGGCTGGTGGTTCGAGCCCACCCCGCAGCTGTGCAGGAGAAAAGCCCTAGCAGTGTCCTGGGCAGATCACAGGCTGGAGAATGCTGTGGGGCCGTTCTGTCCTGTCACACGCGGTCGCTACGAGTGGGGATCATCCCGAGGGACCCTAACAACGATAACGTCACTGAGATACCCTCTAGTATCTCTTTCTTCACTTTGTCTTCTATCCTCAGTGTTCTCCATGTTCCTCACACACAGTCTTCCTAATTGTCATGTTTAATGGCTGCTTCCTCATTGGATTTTCTGTGACCTCATTCTCAAATGTGTTCCCTTGTGACTGTCACCACAGCTCTGCCAGGTATCTCCTTAAGGTTCTCAGTAACACCGCAATGACCCTCTCCATGGGCTTTTTTCATTCTCTCAGCTATATTTGTTGTCCTTTGAATTATTTCTTTAGAATACATTCTCATGTTTGCTGCATCAAAGGGTATAAATATGTGTGTCACTCTTATCACTTAGAAATTGATTTCCAGAAAGGCTGTATCATACACTCGTCTCCATGGGTACACGTTTCCCCAGGTTTTTGCTGGCATTGGGAATAATCTTTTTATTTTCAAAATACACTTTTATAGAGCAATTAGGTTTACAGAAAAATTGCCCAGAAAGTACAGAGAGTTCCCATGTACCCCTGTGCCCACACTCTCCCTTCTTACTGACATCTTTGTGTTGTTGATGGTGGTGGGTGACACAGGGTTGGCTCTCGTTCCTGATGACCTCGTGTATTGATAACAGAACAGAACGTTCCCCGGTCCTGCTCCGTCTTTGGGACCGTTGGCGTGTTCGGTCTGCTGCGTGGCTGCGGTGCAGTCCCTCTTCCTGAGCTTTCCCTCGTTTTTGTGGGCCGTCTGCTTCATCAACCGTGACGTCCCTTTCTAGCTGTTGGTCTCCCCTGATAACATGCCTGGAGTAAGTGAGCCGCACTCTCGCCGTCTCACTTCTTTTTTTTTTTTTTTTAATTTATTGTGATTTGGGTGAAGATTTACAGAGCGAATTCACTTTCCATATAGCAGTTCACATATACTTTGTCTCATGTCATTGACCACAGTTTACAATGCAACAGCTCCCCTCCCACTTCCTCCCCATAGTTACCTCTTCCCAGTAACATATATTGTCTTAAGTCACTAATTTTGTGGTAACTTTCAACACAGCAACAGATAACTGACCCCGCCCCCTCCTCAGAGGGTCCCTGGGTGGCACAATGGTTATGTGTTCCAGCAGGAGCTGAAAGGTGGTTTGAACAGTGCCTAAGGCATTTGACTGCTAACCAGAAGGCTGGCAGTTCAAACCCACCAGCCACTCCTCGGAAGGAAGGTTGGGCAAGCTACTTCTGTAGTGATACTGCCTCAGAAACCCAAGGAGGGGTCGCTATGAGTCAGGGCCAACTCGATGGCACATAACAACAAACAAAACAACAACAAGAGGCGCCTCGGAAGAAAAGTCTGGCAATCTGCTTCTGAAAAACCAGCCTTGAAAACCTTAGGGAGCAGCTCTCTCTAACACACACGGGGCAACGTGAGTCAGAATGGACTCCGCGACACCAACACCTTCGCAAGCTCTTTGCTCCCCCAAGTCTCCCCTTATCATCCCATTGCTCCACGTTTCCTCCAGGAGGAACCGTCTGGAACCGTCTCCAGTCACCCCTCCACGTGGCTCACATTCTCTCAACACACAGCACTTCCCGAAGAGTACTGTTAATGGTGGGCGCATAAGTGTTGGCGTCAGCTGGGGACCCTCTGAGGAGGGGAGAGTGGATTAGTTTTCTGTTGCTGCACTCTAAGTTACCACAGAATTAGTCACTTAAAACAACACATTTTGATGGAAAATTGGGAACACCTATTAGTGATGAACATATTTAATGTCACTTAACATGATCCCCAATGATCTCCATGTTGTTCAGCCCAGAGCTCACTCAGCCCAAAGCTCACTCGGCCCAAAGCTCTCCTCATCTTACTTTTGGGCAGCATTCAACACAGCCAGCCAAGTCCTCTTTCTTGAAATACGCCCCATCTCCTGCTTTCTTGAAATGACCCTCTCAGTTTCATGCCCCTCCCCATGACCATTCTCCCCGGCTGCCTCTCTTTCCAGCTTAGCTTCTGAATGGTAGCACGCCCAGCTTCAGGGTCCCCATTTACGATGCCTCACTTGCACAGTTGTTGTGAGAGTTATACCAGTAACGCATGAGGCTTACAAAGTATCCCTCCTCCTCACTCCGTTAATGATAACTCTGCTCCCTGGCCTCACTCCAGCAAGAAGATCAGCCACTCTCTTCCCCAGGCACCGGTCAGGTGGCCCCCGTGCCCTGGAAACAAAGTTAAGGGAAGACACTGTTTCCCACAAAGGCCAAAGGCAACGTCACCATGTGGGTCTCTGGAGACCCTCATCTGCTAGGGCCTCAGGAATCCCTGTTGGTACTTGATTCTGCTTCAGACTTTTCAGGAGCAGGCATGGTGGCCTTTCGTGGACACACTTAGGGGGTCCTACGTCAAGGATGACAGGCATTTCCTGAGACTCCTCAGGCAGGAAGGGCCCTCCCCTTTAGGAAGCAAAGCTCCAAGCTGAACAGCCCTTGGGTAAGGTCACACCCACTCCAGGGCATGCTGAGAGGCTCAGTCATCCGTCAAACGTTTACTAACCAGATCCTAAGTGTGTCAGGGGAGCTCCTGGTAGTGCAAACGGTTACTCAGTTGCTAACCGGAAAGCTGGAGGTTCAAGTCTACAGACAGCTTGGAAGAAAGTTCGGGAACTCCACTGCTGAAAAACCAGAAACGGAAAACCCCTTGGAGCCGAGTTCTACCCTGACACACATGGGGTCGCTGTGACTCAGAATCAATTCAAGGACAGAAGACAAGAACCCTCCAAGTTCAGACTAACCCCCGGCCCTCCTCTGTGATTTCCCCCAATCTCCCAGCTGGGAACACCTTGCTGTAAAATTCTTTCCTGTCTCTCTGCTAAACAGCCCAGAGAACGCAGCGCCTGCCAATCATCTCTGGGACGCCCTCTGCTCCAGAGAACATAAGCAAAGGCCCAGCGCTGTGCAAATTCCCGGGGGTCACCAAACGCTTGCCTGATGGCTTCGAGCCTCACAGCAGCCCCAGGCGCTGCCAACATGGGGACTATTATCCACCACGTCGCGGATGAGAACTGGGGCGGGGAAATGGTGATTGGGCTGCGAACCGTGGTTCTAGAGCAATGTGCTTGAATTCAAGGCCAGTGCTCCTGCGATCAGCTGGCTGCAAGTCACTTCATCTCTCTTAAGCCTCAATTTCCTCAACTCTGAAATGGGGATAATAACATGTTCTTCACCGGATGGCTACAAAACGATCAAAGCGAGATGGCAGGAAATGAAAAGCGCCCTGGTGGCGCAGTGGTTAAAGTGCTGGGCGCTAATCGAAAGGTCCACATTCCAACTCACCAGCTGCTCGGCGGGAGAAAGATGCAGTCTGCTTTCCTAAAGATGACAGCCTTGGAAACACTATGGGGCAGTTTTACTTTGTCCTACAGGGTCGCTATTAGTTGCAATCAACTCGCCAGTGGATTGGGGTTAGTGTTGGTGCTGGCAGGTAATATCTAAGGTATTACAAAAGAAAAACGCAAACTCACGGCCCTCGAGTTGTTCCCGACTCATAGCCACCCCTCCTTGGGTTTCCTAGGCGGTATGGGAGCTCTGTTAGCGTAGTGCCTAAGGCACTTGACTTCTAACCAGAAGGCTGGCGGTTCAAACCCACCAGCCACTCCTCGGAAGGAAGATGGGCCAATCTACTTCCACAGTGATACTGCCTGGGTTTCTGACTCCACGGCACATAACAACCACCAACAACATCTCTATGGAGTAGATTGCCCAGTGTTCCTTGGAGGAGTGGCTGGTGGTGGTTTGTAGTCAAATGCCTTAAGCACTAGGCCACCAGAGCGCCGCACATATAATAAGCCTACAATAAACATTAATTATTTTAATTCTCAGGCCAACGCCCTGTATCCTCCCCAAAGGGCAGCTCCAAGACATAAAAGGATCACCTCAAGGTGGGGTCTCGAACCTCGGGTCTGCAGAGTGGAGGTGCACGAAGCTGCAGAGCAGCCCTGCCTCCTCGGCGGTCCCCAGAGAATAAGGGGGGGAGGGGATGCCAGCCGGCGAGCCCCACGTGCCTCGCCCCACGTGCCACTAGTCAACATACGAGCGCGCAGGCGTCCCAGGCCGGCGCCCATTGGCCGAGGGACTGACACAGGCCGCGCGGGGCGCCCCGCCCGGTCGGTTGGGCTGCGTGCCCGTCGGTGCGTGCGTCCTGGTCGCCGCTCGGCCCTAGCAATGGCATCCTGGCTGCAGCTGCTGTCGCTGGGGCTGCTCCTGGGCGCCGCCGCCGCCCCCGCGCCGGCCTGGGAGCCGCCGTCCCCGGAGCTGCTGAAGCCGGCCCGCTTCGCCCTGAGGATGTACAACCGCGGCCGGGCTCCGGGGATGCGGGCCGCGCTGGGAGCCGTCCGCGGTCGCGTCCGCCGGGTGAGACGCGCCAGGGCGGGCCTCCGGGGTCCCAAGATGGGGCTGGATGCGGGGAACCAGGGGCGCCTTCGAGATAACTGGGGAGGAGAAAGGGGCCAGGGTGGAGCTGGGGACCGGTAAATCGGGGCCCGCCGTGCCCGCCTTACCCACCCTGCTATCCAGGAGGGCCGGGGGTCGCTGTACTCCCTGGAAGCGACCCTGGAGGAGCCGCCCTGCAACGACCCCACGGTGTGCCAGCTGCCTCTGTCCAAGAAGACGCTGGTGAGTGCTGGGCTCGGGCGATTCCTCGTCCCAGGCCGAGTCAGGCCTCCCTGGAAGAGTTTGTTTCCAGGCCCCAGGGCCGAGGCTGAGAGGCTGCCCCGAGAGAGGGAGGGTGGATGTCCGGGGCAGGCCGGGCCCATTCTCCGCGCTGGAGGTGCGTGCCCTGGCGCTGGTCCTCGTGGGAGGGGTCCCCATCTTCACCTTAGCCAGCCCCAGTCCTCAGCCCCCCTGACTGGCTACCTCCTCTCTCTGCAGCTGTGCAGCTTTGAGATCCTGAATGAACTAGGCAAACACATGCTGCTGAGACGGGACTGTGGCCCGGTGGATACCAAGGTTGCAGGTGCTGGGGCAGCCCCAGGTGGTTGACATAGCCCAGACCAGGCCTTCCTCAGGCCCAGCCTCCATTCCTCTCTGTTCCACCCCCATGCAGACACAAACGAGACCCTGAGTTCCGTCCTTCCACTACTGAACAGGGATCCGCTGCCCCAGGTGAGGAGTCCCTGTCTGTCTGGGAGCTGCCTCATCTTCCTCTCTCCTCACCTTGGAGGGGGCTCCCTGGTCAGGCTGACAGGGCTCCTAAAGACCCTTCGGCTTTTCCAGGACTTTTCGGTGAAGATGGTCTCAATCTTCAAGAATTTTGTCACTACCTACAACCGAACTTACGAGTCGAAGGAGGGTGAGGACCCAGCCTTGGCTGTACCTGTCATGGTCAGATGGGGCCTTCTCCTCAACTTAGCACTTTGGTATTGGTGGAGGGGAAGGACATGTGAGAGAGTGTACCCCTAAGTCCCTGAGTCCTTCTCCAGCTTCCCAGGATCAGGAGGTACCCCAGCCATCTGGCCTCTTCTCCCATGACCTTCTAGGCCAGAAGCCATCCATGAGCCTTCATCCTGGGCAGAGTGGGATGGGGCAGAGGCTAGCTTTTCTTTCTGGAGATCCTGCACTCCTGGCCCCTTGGCTTTTGCCCATGCCCACCTGTCGGATGACACCTATTGGCTCCCATCTGGGTTACGGCTTTCATGGCCCCAAAAGTTGCCCACACCTCCCACTACATCATCACTTGCAGGTCTAGCCCTCACCCCCGCCCCAGGGTTCTGTCCTTCCTGAAAAGAGCTTCTGGTCTGATTCAGAGCCCACATGATCCCCAGGGAAACCCCTGTCTCCTATTTTGATCTTCCTGGGTTCCCAGCTCCTTCCTTTCACGCTCTTTGTCCCCAGAAACCAAGTGGCGCATGTCAGTCTTTGCCAATAACATGATTCGAGCACAGAAGATCCAGGCCTTGGACCTTGGCACAGCTCAGTATGGGGTTACCAAGTTCAGTGACCTGACAGGTAGGGGTGGCGGCCAGAACCCGCCTGGACCTGGAAGAGACAGGGCCTGCTCTCAAGGCCTCTGGTCAGGCTGGCTTAGAAGAATTCCCTGACACTCACACACTCTCCTGCCTGCCTTTGTCCACAGAGGAGGAGTTCCGTACCATCTACCTGAACCCCCTCCTGAGAGAGGGTCCTGGAAAGAGGATGCGCCCAGCCAAAGCCCCCAAGGACCCCATGCCACCTGAATGGGACTGGAGGACAAAGGGAGCTGTCACCAAAGTCAAGAACCAGGTCAGTCCTAGTGTACCCAAGAACATGTATAGGGTTGGCAGACAATGGTCCTATAAGTTTATGTGTATGATCTGAATTCTCAGGTGTATAGCAGAGCTGACAAGGGGCAAGGTTGTGGTCACTGCTTGGTCACAGCCAGCTACCCAGAGGGACTGAGTAGTTGAACCTGTGGGCTCGGGACCATAGTCGCAGGGAACATCAAGCTCAATTGGCATAACATATTACACAAAACATGGTTCCACCTCGTACTTTGGCAAGTAGCAACTGGGATCTTAAAAGCTAGCAAGCTGCCATCTAGATGCAGCGATGGGTCTTTCATCGTCCAGAGCAAAGAAGAATGAAGAAAACCAAAAATTCATGGATACAATCAGTCCTAGTGACTGGTACACCATCCAATCTGCAGCCTATACAAGACTATGAGACCAGAAGAACTAGATGGTGCCCGGCTCCCAATGTCAACCACTTGGAAGGGGATCTATCTAGGAGATCCTGGATAGAGAGGGAGAACAATGTGGACAAAACTCAAAATCATTGGGAGAAAAAAAAAAGGCGGGGGGGGCAGGTTTGCTGGTCCAATAGAGCCTGGCAGAACCACTGAGACTATGGCCCCTAGCTGCCCTTCAGGTCTGGAATTGAACCCACATCTGTGGCTTCCAGCCAAACAAAAGACAGGCATATGAGTTGAACATTTACTGAGGTAGATAACACTCCTTGGAGAAAATAATCATGGGAGAAAGAAGGGCTGCTTGTGCACTGGGAGACAGCTCAGGGGGCAGGAGGGCATGGAGAGATGGACACAAGGAAGAGGTAACTATGGGGAGGAAGTGAGAGGGGGGCTGTTGCATTGGGGTAAATTGTGGTCAATGTCATGAAACAAAGTGTGAACTGCTGTATGGAAAGTGAATTTGCTCTGTAAATTTTCACCCAAATCACAATAAAAATCAATTAATTAATTAATTAAAAAACAAAAGTACTAGGTCAGTCCTAGGGTGAGGGTAGATGGAAGGAAGGAGGCGCTGAGGCTGGGGAGGGCCGAGCCCCATCTCTTCTGTCTCTCGCAGGGCATGTGTGGGTCCTGCTGGGCCTTCTCAGTGACTGGCAACGTGGAAGGCCAGTGGTTCCTGAACCAGGGGGCCCTGCTCTCCCTCTCTGAACAGGGTGAGCATCCCGCTGCTCCCCCATCCCCAGCCCAGCCCTTCCACAGGGCTCCTCGGGACCAGCCTTCTGTCTCCTAGAGCTCTTGGACTGTGACAAGGTGGACAAGGCCTGCATGGGCGGCATGCCCTCCAACGCCTATGCAGCCATAAAGACTCTGGGTAGGCACTGACGGGGTTGGGTGAGGGGGTGATTGGAGCAGGAAGTCAGTTTGAGGGAGAGAGATGTGCGCTTGGGAGTCACACAGAGCTGGGTTCAGGTGTGCGTGCTGACTCCCACTGGCACATCCTCCCCCTCAGAACCTCAGTATCCCCATCAGTGAGATGGGGCTGAGCGTGTCTCCCTGGTAGGAGTGCCTTGAGTATCAAGTGAGGGAATACGTGGGAAGTTTTTGCCACAAAGCAGGGGCTCTTAGTGTTTCCTCTGCCTGGAGGTCTGTTTTGCATAATGCTATGACACCAAGGAGCCAACCCACCTCAGCCCTGGGGAGAGCTTGGTTGTGCAGAGGGCTTAGGGGGGCCTGGCAAGGGTTGGGGCTGGGTTAGGAGTGAGAACAATCAGGGACAAGCAAGCCAAGGTCAAGAGCCACGGGAACCCTG